TGTATTAGCTATAACAGGTGAGTGTTTAAAAGTTGGTCCACAGCCTCCTTTTTAGCTCCAATCATAGTAACTTTTTTCATTTTATTCGTGCTGAAGAGCAGCTTTTGCGGTTCATCCACGATTCCCGCCCGCCCCCTCAAATTTCACACCTTTGTTTTGGTTTTTGATGCCTTCTTTCTAATTGCTGTTTCTCAGCCTATCTGTTTGGTGTTTCAACTATGCGTTTTTCTAATATTCTTTGATTCATTATGCATTGGGTTGTATCTAATCCCTTCGCTGCTTTTCAAATATATTTAGAATCTGACAATGAGGATAAGAAACTGCTGCAGCAGCTGAAACGAGACCACACAGTGAAGGATCTGACGCAAAAACTGAGCAACATGCCGATGAGTCCGACGCATGAGGAGAAGTTGCAGAATCGCATTGTCGGCGATATGTCGGGTCTCATATCGAAAGCCAAAGAGGGACTTGCCAAAAGCAAAAGCAAAGGCGAAATGTCGCGGTAAGTGAGGGTTAAAATTTTTATTATCGACGATGTGAAAAGACAAAGATTTATTCAATTCAAGGAAAGACACAGAAGGGGTTTAATATTCCCAACCGACTTATACCTTTACACCAGCGATGGGCTTTTACTCTGCACGCGTCTATACAAAACGTAGAGAAAGCTTAAAAAAACTTTAAACTAACGAATTCAAAGCTATCATTCGTTATTTACTTTCTTTGTTTGGAGCTGGATCTTTCTCCACCAGAGTCTAGTAATTATTTTAGAGGGTCTGTTTGAAGTTGTGCGGGGATTTTTATGAGGGAAAATCCGAGATTGAGGATATACAATTGCTGCAGTGTTATTAAGAGAACATTGAAATATCCTTTTAGAAAAAGATTGTTTCTTGTCATTGCCAAGCGAATATTAAATTTTTTAGTAGTCTAGTAAGCTATCACGATTGGCTTTTCCTTTGACTTGACATTGAATTTACTTACATTGGCAATTAAGGATCTTTAAATCTTTATGAGAATTGGCATAAAGTATGTTCCGACTGTCTGCTATCTACTATTGCGGCGAAAGTTGAGCTTAAAGATGCTATTTAGATATGTATAAGCCTGTTTCGATACTTTTCTTGATACTAGTCATGGCATCGAGGGTTATACGGAAAAGCTTTTTGAGCTAAGTGTTCGCCAAGATCTATTTAGAACGTAATCGCGTATGCTTTTTTTGTTTTTGATTTGCTATAGTCCAGATGTGGCATGCCTATTCTTCTCTTGACCTTTTCCCCCACGGATGAGTTAAAAAACACACCAGCACTATAGTACATTCCTCATCGATTTTATCACCACATATATTACCCTATTCTGCCGTCGAACTAAACATACAACTGCAATCTCTAATTACCTTGGAATTGATCAAAAGTGCAGGTTGGCTATCTGAGATAATGTATGTTTGTTGTATTCTTCACAGCTTATTTTTATTATTCTACACATCCTTGGATTTCGAACCATTAATATGAAATTGTAAAATAAGTGTTTGGCTGATGAATAAATCTGGTAATGCATGTGATTTCCCTTCGAGCAAAAGTGATGTGAGATCTATTGTCCGATGGGAATTTCATTCTACTAACTTGCAAGCTCTTTATGGCTGCGACAAGCGTTTTTTTTTTAATAGAACCGTCGAAAAGTAATAGCTTACTCGAAAAACGTTCCGATTTCGCTGCACCATATTTTAATTTTTCACATTTCGAATGCCTCGGCTAGGAAAAAATACACACCTACATACATATGTAGTCAGCATACTATTCAAATTAATGTTCTGTTCACTTCTTAAATTACATATGTAAATATTTTATTGTTCGATTTAGGCATATTTGGGTGCATATTTCTCGTAGGTAGCAATATAAGCCTTTTGTGCCTCATCCTTGGACAGACCCTTGTGTTTGTTCCATGCGTCCCACTTGGCTTTGCCTTTCAGATCCAAAGCGCCGGGCCTCTCTACATTAACATCACCAATTGTAGATTGTTTGAAGAGGCCGTAAAATTCCAAGAATTCCTCATCGGTAGGGCGCTTGCTGAAGGCTTTGGCTTTTTCGCAGGCCGCGTTGAACTGTGAATAAGGATAAAGTTCAATAATTTTGCATGGCATGTGTAAAATAGTTGCCTTAAAGTTACTCACATCCATGATGTGTAAAGAGCTCGCTCTGATCGTCTCGGTAACACCTCCAAAATGTTACTAAATTTGACTTCCGTTCACTTATCTACTTTATACGCATAATTGGTTATTTCTGATGTATTGTACTAACTTATCAACAGAATTTTCGATAAGCTCTTTTTATTACTACTCGCAGCCTTTTAATGCCTTTTTGCAATCTGCAATATTCAGGTTTTTTGTTTATTTCTTTTGTGTTAATTACTTTATAATGACGATGCAAAGTCCCAGGGTATGTATGCATGCAACCTTTGCTCATGTCGGTTATCGGCTGAATATGTATTGCCGGCCGGTAAGTGTTTCAAACGGTAAATGGAGGTGTGGGCGAAAGTTCGAAAGCCCAAAGCTATATAACGGGTGACTAAATAATACGAAAACTTAAAAATATGCTTGGCATCTCGTTCTTCCTTCTCCTTTGAGGTGCATGCTCTGATGTTTTCATACAAATGGGGGAGCTTAAAGTTTAACGCATACTTTAAATAGGGCGTGTTTTTTTTATGGCAAGTTTTTTCATGTCATAAATACCCGCAGAGATTGCCTTTAACCGCGAAGTTGTGACTGATGTATGAAAAAAAAATCGTTTTTGATTTTGCTCGTAACCGAAATCAAATCTGGTTCCCTGTCCTCGGCCGTGGCTACAAATTGTTTGATGAAATAAAATTATTATTTTTTCTTCTAATATATTTGTAAGTGTATATCCTTTCAAATGCCGCTGTTTTTTTTT